CAGAATGTTGGAACAGGAGTTCATCTGAGACCCGATCGGTAATGTGAATAAAGGCCTGTTACTTCCTGAAGACCTGTGTCCAATATTTCTGTGTTTGGCTTCTGCATGCTTACACTGCAACATAATAACATGCCTTTTATAGATTGAGCTAGATATATGGCTAACACACATATGGATAAAATGCAATTCTTTTTTAGTTATTCCTATAAATTCTACAAATATGGCCACAGAAAACAGCATGCAAGCTCATACACTCACATCCAGCTTGTCCAGTTCTGCATGTTTTACTGTCTGGCCTGCAACGCAGTCATACTGTAGTAAGTTTCCTGCTTGTTCCAGCCATTATTCCCACAATATTTTTTAAATAAATGTTTAACTCAGAATAGATTAGCAGTTGTCAAGTTATACAGTAGACGTGTATTTTGTTTGGTTCTGAATTTTAATTCACACCAACTGGCAATACGGAAGCATTCGGCTTTCCAAATTCCTTACAAACTGAAAACAAACTGATTCGGAACAAATTCAAACTACATTACTCAGGCTGTCTTCATACAGATAGCAAATTAGGGACTTAACTATTAAGCAACAACAGCAGCAATATTATGATAAGGTTTTATGTTTGTTTGTTTGTTTGTTTGAATTTTGACCTTTCACCTGTTTCGTAGATAGTGCCCTAATTTGGTATCATTACATGGGATTGCCATCGTCAAAGGTACCAAATTAGGGACATATCTATTAAGCAACTGAATCAGCAAAGTTAAAAAAGGCTGCTGTGAACAGAAATTTCCTAATTTGGTACCTTTAAAAATAGTAATCCCACATAAGGGTACCAAGTTAGGGAGCTATATACTAAACAACTGCCTGAAAGATCAGAATGATTAAGTGTTTTTTTTTTTCAAATGTTGCCTTTTCAGCTGTTTAGTGGATAGCTCCCTAATTTGGTTCTAATCTCCTAATTAGGGGGCGGAGCTAGCAACAGAGCAAAGAAGACACACATCCTTAGAGGTCCTGAGAGATACAAGCTATATTTTAGTAAATTTCACCACAAAAAAAGGATATACTCCTGCTAAAGCCTTCTGGACACTGTGGGAAGAAAAACCAAACCTCGCCAGAGTGAAACAGCTAGCTCTTCTAAAGATATTGGCCCTCTGCTTTGAGTACTCCGCAGCTGTGGCCTGTCAAGATGGCACCTGCGCCGGATGTCTCAGACTAAACCTCTGAAGAGAGCAATCAAGATGGCTCCATAGCTCCTATCTGCAGAGGTGTAACTAGAAGCCGCTGGGCCTCGATGGGAAAATTGCCCTGGGGCAAAACCATGTATCTAATTCCTCCTTTCCCAGCAGTCCCTCCATGTGCCTTATTCACCCCAGGGCAGGGCCCCCTTGAGTGACGGCCCCATCGCAGCTGCAACCCCTGCGACCTCTTTTGGTACGTACACCACTGTTTATCTGGCAAACAAATAAGCAGGCAACTCCCATTACAGCTCCAGAACACTTACCAGCAAGTAAAGCTAATATCCAGAACCTCCTCAAATAATTTAAAGTTCTCTTTGCTGCTAATATTGCACTTGTCCAAGAATACATGGGAGCTATGGCAACTCGGCTGCAGACAGTGGAGAATGACAGGTGCATTGAGAAAGGCAAACAAATTTATTTAAAGATAGAGGTTGACAGGTGGCATCTGGCTTCTGAATTTTCACTTACAGGATGCATGTTGCGCCGTCAGGCATGGGCACTGTGGTCAGCTGATGCTATCAGCCAATCAGTGACTTCTCATTCACTAAACTGGCTTGGAAAGAAACATACCTTTCCCAAGCCAGTTTAGTGAATGGGGAGTCACTGAATGTCTGAGAGCGTCAGTTAACCTCTCTCAGCCAATCAGAGGCTCCTCTGCCCAGAGGTAGAAGCAGGATGCCACCTGGGGAGTTTAACCTCTTAACCTTTAAGTAAGAGTGCCTCCAGGGGCTACAGGGGCCTCCTGGCACCATAACAACTTCATCTAAGGAGTGGCCAGTGGAGTTATCACTAGGCTATAATGTAAACACTGCATTTTCTCTGAAAAGACAGTGTTTACAGCAAAAATCCTGAAGGGAATGATTCTACTCACCAGAACAAATGCAATAAGCTGTAGTTTTTCTGATGACTTTAGTGTCCCTTTAACCCCTTCCCGACTGAGGAACAACAAACAGTCGTTAACGACCTCGGACGTACCTGGTATGTCTGCAGCAAACTATGTACTTACCTGATTGCTGGTGTTCCCCCACCAGCAATTGCAATGTGGGGACTTGCCTGGCATCCCAGGCAGTCCCCCTGCAACTGATCCAGCCCCCCCCCGGGCCATGTGATCGTGGGGTCCTCGTGATCACATGGCCGAAATAGCCGGATTGTGCAGTGTCTGCAGGGGGCCTGCCTGAGCTCTCAGGCTGTCCCCCTAGAGCCTGTACAAAAGTTTTAAAAGTAAATAAAAGTTGTAAAATAATTTTTTAATTAAATAAAAGTACTTAGATCATATATTTATACAATATTTAAAAAATAGATTTTCTCACCCATCCTGGGTGGTATGTTTTTTCCTCATTCTTGGGTCCTCTACCAGAGGCCTGTGAGTTTGAGGGTTCTGCACAGTTCTTAGCTATTCCTAGAACTGCACTCTTCTGGAAAGTGATCTCAGATGTCCCACCTGGAGTGCTCCTATCATAACTGGGACTACTACTGCCTTCACTTTACACATCCTTTCTAGTTCTTCTTTCAGTCCTTGGTATTTGTCCACCTTCTCATGTTCCTTATTCCAGATGTTATAGTTACTGGGTATTGCCACATCCACCACGACTGCAGTCTTCCGTTCCTTGTCTACCACCACGATGTCGGGTTGGTTTGCCAGCACTTGCTTGTCTGTCTGGATCTCGAAGTCCCACAGGATCTTAGCCCTGTCATTATCAACTACCTTTTGTGGTATCTCCTATCTGGACTTCATACAGACACTTACATCCATACATACACACATTCATAATGACATACAGACATACATTCACACTGGCATACACACATTCATACAGACAGACAAACATACACACATTCATAATGACATGTAGACATACATACACTGACATTCATACACACATAATGACATGCATACAGGCATACAGACAGGCATACAGACATACATACATACAGACATACATTCATACTGACATACCTACATTCATACAGACACTGACATCCATACATACACACATTCATAATGACATACAGACAAACATTCATACTGGCATACATACATTTATACAGACAGACATACACACATTCATAATGACATGCAGACATACATACACTGACATT